TTTTGTGTAACGTTATGTAACCATTTGTAATAAAGAAAAAAAGGGAGATAACTCTTCCTCAGTGCATACTCAGAGAGTTTTAAATGTCAACGTATTGGCATGTAAATTTAAAGCAAGAAAAAAAAAACGTTAAGAAAATATTTAATGTGGATTATTTTTTAGGCTAAAAGCATACACAACATCAAAAAATTTGTTCTAAATTTGGTACCTATTTTGAATTAAAATTCTTTTGTATTCTTTTATTTTCATATTTTTGTTTTTTGCTATTGCATTTGAGAGTATACGGATTGGAGAAACATTTAATTTATGTTAACAAATCTTTCATTATGATGAATACACTTAATTCAGAGACATTTCATTCAGAAAAAAGTAATTACCGAATTGTCCAAAGTTTATGGACACATTTCATATGCAGGATATTACTGTAAACCAACTTTTATTCACGACGACTTTATTTCGTGATTTATCGGGGGAAAACTAATTCACGACGATTAATTTTCGCGATCAAACCTTTTTGGATTTGCAGTCAATAGGCATAGAGACTTACAGGACCAGTTCGCGACGAGGACGCTCTCGCGAAATTCGCGAAAATTTTTCACCCGCGAATAAAAGTTGGTTTACAGTATTCAATGACATTAAATGACACCCTTACGAAAAAGGGGAATCCGGTAGGGGACATGTGTATGAAATGCAATACTCTCAGAATGTTCATTTTAATTTATCATTTCGAAATATAACATGTAGATAAAACACGTTCCTCGATGATGGTTTTTGCTATCCGGATACAGCTGAGGTGGCAGCTGCAGCTCCCAGGAGGGCTAGTAGTCCGATACCTCCCCCAATAGCTAAAACCACGCCCCCTAGTCGGCTTCTCCTTGTGGTCGTCATGGATGTAGTCACTGTCGTTGTTGTTGTAACTGATCAAAAAATAATAGAAGGATTTAAGATATCATATTTTTAGAAAAAAATTATTTTTATCTTTAAATTTATTTACATAATTGAATACATAGTCACATACTGTGTAATCACTAATTTTGCGGGGGTAATTTTCTTTTTTTATTTTTGATATGTGAAAAGGCCCGCGATTTCATGTTCACCGCCACGAAATGAAAATTGTTACATATATAACTACTCAAATCTTTCACATTCACGAAATATAATCCCCACAAACTAATAGTTTTTTGGCAAAGAACACAAAAAATGACCCATCGAAAATATGTGACTTTACAGGATTTCATGTTTTTTCGTTATTTTTTTTTCTGGACAAGAACCCTACATTTATTTTCGAGATATGACACTAGTATTTGTTTTTTCTTCTATCGCCCTCGTGGCACAATGGTAAGAGCGTCTGCTCTAGAGTTCCGGAGTAAGAAGTTGATACTTATGTCGCGGGTCCGAATCCCATTGTGGGACGTGGAAAATGGTCTATTGGATGAGAGCTCTCCACCGGCAAATGGTGAAGTCTATCTCTCTATCAATCTGTCTATCTGATTGTCTGTGGGGTATATATATATATATATATATATATATATATATATATATATATATATATATATATATATATATATATATATATATATATATATATTCCAGGAAAATACTGGAAAATAAAACAAATCTAAATATTTATGACGTTAAATCATCTTGTTTGCATGGGTCATGTAGTATACATTATTGTTTATGTAATAATAAAATAATAAAAAATATAAAAATAAATATATGTCATTGACATATCACACCGTATACTGAAAAGAAACTTTTTAGTATACAGTGGGATATGTAATTTTCAAAGTGTGCATCAAATCAAATATCCGTGACATTCTAGTGTATATGAAGCAGAGGGGTTTACAAAAACTCAAAAATTAACTGCGGACTAAGAAAAATGTTACGAGTATAGTTCGAATTTCCTCGACAATATGTTATATAGAAAATATACAGTATCCTTGACCCAAGTGCCTATGGTGTGTTTGTGTGCACATTAATACTTTAACTACACCTCTATATTTGTACTATATTTAATGCAGGACACATCGCGTATAGTTTGACCTTACCTTGACATTGGCTACCCGTAGTACCTGGTGGGCAGTCACACACTTTCTGTCCCCCCTTTTCAACACATGTTCCCCCATTGCAGTCACTGTTCCTTTCACATAGATCTGGGAGTACAAGAGAAACATTATTGGTCAAAATAAGCATTTATCTTTGTTATAATGCTGTTTTTTGTCAATCTCAAATAAATGTGATTCAAGGAAGGTGGGTTCATATATCAAGTGTACTTTTAAGAAAGAGGGAAAGGCAAAACGAAATATATTCATATTTCCGGACTTAGCTAACAGGCTTTTACAACTACTAACATGAATACTTGATGCACATCTATGACACTATAATTACATTGTAATATATGTTTCTTTTAACTTGGCGTCAATCTTGTATGCTAGACTTATTCTATAATGCAAATAATTAGATTAGAATTAATCAGAATCTAGGTTATTTTAATTCTTTTTATCTGAAATGGCTAGCTTTAAAAAAGTACTTGTATCTCCTTTCGTTATTAATATTGCATTACAGGAAAAGATTCTCTCTTTTTTAAAATTAAGCTAATAATAAAATAGAAGTAACATGTACGAAACCAAATTATAATTTATCTTTATTTATAAGTAAATAAATTTAAAAATAAAAATAAAAAAAAATAACTCTCCATGCGGGGATCTAGTCTAAAACTTCTTTATTCCTGATTGCTTTAGAATGATAACGAATACTACTGAGCAATCCCCGCTACACAAAAGATAAACATTTTGCAACGTCATTGACACACCTAGCTACAAACTGTAGCTCTCCAAAAAAACATTGACAAACCGGAGAGCTTCGTACAGAAATTCATTTCTACTAACCGTATGTTTCCAACTTGCGACTATTTTCAAAACAAAAAAAGTCCTTATAACCACTGCAAATAGCCCTCCCAAACTTGAAACGTAACGGAAACCATCGAAAATTCGGCTATGTACACTGTCATTTTGAACAACAAGATAATTCGGTCCATCGCACTTCGTGTCGATTTAAAATATTATAGTAAAAGTAATAGGGGTGTAAGGAATATTTTGAAGTCAAGCTTTTGTACAGTTGAGGTAAGAATTTGTAGAAATCAATCCAACAGAATGAGCGCACCTTTTATGCGCAATAAATATATTATTATTATTATTTATTATTTTATTAATTTATAAAGTGCAAAATCACATACAGTTACTATGCGCTTTACAATGGTTTTGCTAACATTAATAACAATATATCAATAAAAACCGATAAAATTGTTATGGAAAGTTAATAATCGATAAAACAAAGAAAGACCTTATATAAAACATGGTAGTAAGATGAAATTGGTTTTTTCTATGGTTGGTACCGTAGCTCTTTGGTCGTCCATTCCATTTGTTCAGACCAGCGAGCTACAAAACTAGAGATCTGCAGTTACCGGGGTATGTTACAACAGGCACGTAATATGCGTAGGAGGGGGCGGAGGGGCGGAGAGGGGGGGGGGGGCAGAAGGCCCTCATGAACCACGTTTTCTAAGTTACGTATTTTCTTATAGTATATTAACCTTTAGATGCCGCCCCCACTTTTGTTTCTTTTTGCGGCTTTGAGGAACACTGACAAATTGCAGGATCTTGACAGTAAATTTCTTTTGGCTTTTCAGATTATTTTGAAAAGTTGCCCTTACCCCTCCTTTTTAGCTCACCAGAGCCAAAGGCTCAAGTGAGCTTTTCTGATCAAAATTTGTCCGTTGTCTGTCGTGATCTTTTCACATTTTCATCTTCTTCTCAAGAACCACTGGGCCAATTTCAACCAAACTTGCCACAAAGTATCTTTTGTAAAGGGAATTCAAGTTTGTTCAAATGAAGGGCCACGCCCTTATTCATGGGGAAATAATTCAGAAATAGTTAAAATATGTTTTAAAAATCTTCTTCTCATGAATCACTATGCCAGGAAAGATGAAACGTATCGGGAAGCATCTTCAGGTAGAGTAGATTCAAATTTGTTCAAGTCATGACCCCCAGGGTACGGGTGGGGCCACAATGGCCGTTTACATATGAATAAATATTGAATTCTCCAAAAATCTTCTCAATAATAGCAAAGTCATTAATCATCACGTTTATATGAAAGCATCATCAGGTAGAGTAGATTCAGGTTTGTTCAAATCATGACCCCCGGGGATAGAGCGGGTCCACAATGGCCCGATCAAAATTTTACATAGAAATATATAGGGAATTCTTTAAAAATCTTCTTCTCAAGAATAGCAAAGGCATGAATGATCATATTTATATGGAAGCATCCTTATAGGTAGTGTATATTAAAGTTTGTTCAAATCATGACCACTGGGGGTAGGGCAGGGCCATAACATGGAATCCAAGTTTTACATAGAAATATGCAGAAAAATTCAAGTCATGACCCATGGGGTTAGGTGTTGCCAGGTGTTGTAAGTTCAAATGTAAAGGGCAATAAAGCCACAGGTAGTCAAAGAAATATGCAGGCATCCTTAGTTAGTGTAGATCCAAGTTTGTTTAAATCATACCCTCTTGCCTTTAATAATTGGTTGAGACCACTTTTTTGGTGTAAACCTTTCAATAAAAAACATATCTGCTTTCTTTCCAAGCTACAGTGTTCAGGTGAGAGATGTGGCCCATGGGCCTCTTGTTTTACCTTGTCCTCTTGTTTTCGGAAATTGAAACCATTGCTACAATCCTGCATACTGAAATTTAATTGATTTTTATCTTTGGGCCTTCTCTTCAATTTTTACAAACGTTTTGTTGCTTTTTTAAATTTAGAATTCACATAAACGTTGTAAAATCGTGGAGATGTGACATAAAGATGGCAATTCCTTTTATCATAGAATGTATTATAAAATGCAATTAAAATAAATTTTCGATTTGTTTTTTATTGAATGCACACTCGTTCTTCTTCCAAAATCAACATCATCAAAACGAACGACTTTTTAATTCTATACAACTAATAATAACCACAATAATAGATGGACATGCTTTTGACATCATAAGAAAACTGCGTTTTGAAATTCAAAAATGTGATTATCATCATCAATTTTTTATTGGAGATAATTTTCAGAAATCTGTTGAAATTTTCATGGGTACTAATGGTGTCCTATTTTTAGTTGAAATGTTTTTTGTATTCAATTTATTCATAGACTTCTATATAAAAAGAAAAATTATCTTGCTGTGGCCTTCTTTTCGACACTTTGATATATTGAATACATTAAAATAGATCAATTAATAATATCCATTTTAATTTCTACATTGATTCGATATATTATACATCTAGTATTCTTTGAATGTGATATTTACGAAACAACAACGGTTTCATACATGTATAACGCTGATGGCAAACTATCAAGCAGATTTTATGATAATCGTGATGAGTTCTGCTTTCTTATCCCTTATTTATGTAGCAATGTTTCCTTGTCACCTGTAATTGGAGTTCAAATCTCCCAGTTGAGTCGGTACTCAAGAGCATGTTTTTTGTAAGCATTTTTTTTTTAAAAAAAAACAAGTTTTAAAGGTATTTACAAAAAGATTGATGCAAGGATTTAAAAAAGCTTCGTTAAGCAATCAAAATTTCGCAAATTTTATTGTCGATACAATGACTTTGATAGCGAATAAATCAATCATTTGTCGTTAAGTGGTGATATTCATTAGTCTTACAATGTGGATTTTCTCCTTTGATCGATAACTACAGCTGTATATGTCCCCCCCCCCCCCTTTTCACTACCGATAATTACATTTTATTTTTGACCAATAGCATATTATAAATTGGATACATGTAGATCTGAATAAATAAAAGTGAATTTATAATACTATTAATCAGAACTGTATACATAATGAAAAAATATATATTCTGTAATTAAAAACTTTATTTGAATTAGTAAAAAAATTGAGATCGGTGCATTCATTTGCAAAACTATTTTAAAAAAAAATCTTTTACCCATGCATCTTGGTCCAAAAAACCCCCCGTGACAGAAGCAGACAGGGTAGTCAAAAATATCCTCAGGAATTTTACATTTTCCACGTGGTCCACATTCGTCTTCTCTCTCTACCAGGGAACAGGCACCCACTACAAATAGGAAACGTTATTCACAGCATTAATGAATTACAGCAAATTTGAACAAAATTGGATACAACTCCTTGAATTAAAGTTCATACAGCTACTAAGACGGAAATATCTGACAGCTTAGTTCTTTAAAACGTATTACATGTGCACTATAAGTATCGGATGTAGGAGCGACCGATCTATTTAAACTTGTATTACATTGGAAAATGGGGCGTTATTTTTTTTCTTACCCCGATGAAATAATTTCTAATTAATATTGATAATCAACATAAAAATCAGGAATAAAAGTTTTAAAAATTCGCTCTATACTTCGTCCTTATTGTTTTTATTAGGTGTAAATTGATAAGCATTTTTCAACAGATATTCATTAATGTATGATTTAATAAAAAGTTGTTTGCATGAAATGCTTCTCAACATGAACAAGCATATGACTTGGAACTGAAACGTTTTGAGTAACAGTGCCGAAAATAACTAATAAACTGTAAAAGTTTTAAGGGTGTTAATAAATATTGTTTTGGTTTTGAAAATAATAATAATTACAGTTGCAAACGACAAGATTAAAGTTTGTTTTTTTTTGGCATTTCACATATGTATTTTGAAATAACATCAGCATTATCACATGATGTGACAATGGTTACCGATATCAGGATATTGCATATCCTTTTATATCTGCATTTGTATATTCCAAATTAGGCATTTTGATACTTGCGGCACTTGTATTTGCTACAATCATTCTATGATGATACTATCCTATCCAATATCCACGAATTAATTTACTTCGTTTGACCATACACAGAAAATATAAAAAAAAATGTACCATGCAAGGTACGTCTTTTTCAAAATTTTCTATAAAATATCATATTTCCTATGTATTCTTTTCGTGATTTTTTTAAAAACGATATATTTTTGCGGACGAATTGATGTTTTGCATCAATTAAACTAGTAAACATATTTTGAGATTACTAACTATATTCTTTAGGATTCTTTGCAAATAAGAAAATGTTCATATTCTCGTGATCTCGCGTTTGATGGGTTACAGTTTCTTTTGACATCTTGTGATGTAACTGAAGTATAAAGAAAAAGGCATTCTCTTTTTTTAAAAAACATCACAAACAATTAATGTAAATATATTATGAAAAATGAGAATTCATAAAGTACATGAACCTTGACGCTTTATGCATGTATGTTTATCACGAAGTGCTGACATTGATCCATAGTCACTTAAATTCATTTCTTAAATTTTTTATGACATTCTTACCTTGGCACACAATAGTTTGTGATGGAACATTTTGGAATGGGGCAGAGTTCATGTCACAAAAACATTGGTTTGAATCAACATCGCAATTTGCATTTTCTATACAATCTGAATCATTATTACAACCGCCAACGCTCTGAGCCAAAATATTTTGCCAGTGCAATATGATACCACCAACAAGTAGAAACTTTCTTAAAAGGGACATCTGCATTGTTGTATCTAAAAGTTAGGACTGAAAAAAAACATATAAGTACCAAACAAATATACTAATTAACCCTGTATACAAGGGTTATCCAAAAGTAATATCAACGAAGATATGACATATCATTTAGTAGTTGATACCACCCAGGTTTTTAACTGTTTGTATACTTATTACCAGTCTATTGATTAATTATTATTGATGATTATTTTTTGATTCCTTCAAACTTTCGACGACAGAAGATTTTGTAGAACGTTACTATGAAGGGTGGGGGTAAGGTGAAAAAAAGCATTTACAAAATGTGAACCACTATATCACTGTATAGTTTTATGTGTGATTATTGAATAATTTAGCTATGTCACAATTCTGTACGAATGATATTTTTTTTTCACAGTTTTAGGCAAAGCATTCATTCGGAAAAGGGTGAGTGGGTGATGAAATCAAAGAAAAGAGTATTGTAAAAGTGGAGAGGGACGATTATGTGCTTCATAATTTTAAAGGCTTCTGTAGATTCTTGGAATATTGCGTAGATTCGAAAGTTTCAAATAAAGAAGACGAAAGTGTTAAAGAAAGAAGACAAATTCAATGATGAATATATGGCCTTTGATCTTTTGACCTCAAAAAGAATATGGAGTTGTGATATAGAATTGTATTGCAAAAGTTTACAGGCCTCTCGAGATATCGCGCGGAAACGAAAGTGTCGAAACGGACATAATTTTTAAATTTATGACCCTTGACCTTTTGACCTCAAAACCAATAGGGATCTCCCTACGGCCATGGGGATTATCGTGTAAAATTCCAATGCAAAGGCTCATGGGCTTTTGGAGATATTGCGTGGAAACGAAAGCATTACACACAGACAGAACTACATATGGACGGACAGACGGACGGACTGATAGACAGACCGTCATTAATATCGGCCATTCTTAGCGTGGGGCAAAAAGGTTCAATGTGTATTCAAACTATGGCATTTCTAAGGCAAAGCGAGAAAATTTCCCCTCGGCCTTCGGCGAACTTGATATGGCGAGAAATTAAATGCAAACATTAGGTCACAAACAAATCCTTTAAATGTTAACATCAAAATTGTCAAAATTTTACAAAAAAAAAACAAAACAAGTGTATCTAGTTTAGCCTATACTTAACCTTTTGCCTTCAAAACCAAGAGGCGTCTTCTGTAGACCATAGGTCACATAGAATTTAATTGCAAAAGTTCAAAGGTTTCTCGAGATATCTCTTGGAAATAAAAGTGCTAGAGGGACGGACAGAAAGGCAGGGGTGGGGGTTGTGGGGTAGAGGTAGTTATGACATAAAATTTAACTGCAAAAAGTCAAAAGCCTCTAGAGATACCTATCATCTAAAAATTTAAGTTTTACACACCCCTTAAATATATAAATACATGAATACTACCCTAAGTCTAATAGAGGTCTTGTTTTAGCCATAGCGAGTTGTAGTATAATTAAGGAATCACTGTCTATAGGCGAAGCCCGTTATGCTTAAATTATCCGATGTTTCCCACTATCGTTGATGTCCCTGGCATACTATACGAACTAGACAGTGATTCCTTATATTTCCGTTTCATTGTGAAATAAAATTGTAGATTTATATCTTTAAAATGTAGACATAGATTTAAGGGGGCCGACTATAGTTTTATTGTGTGAAAACTACAATACCGAAACTCTTCATTTTTATATCATATATAACTTACATTACCTTCAGGGTACATGCAAAGTTTGGGGGAAATCTACCGTCCATGTATTTTTGAGGGGCCGTCTCAAAATACAGGTACATTTACTATAGGATTATATAGGAAAATGCCAATTTTTAGCACTTTAAAGCAAATTATACAAATACTACAATAGACATTTTGTTCAAACTATAATATTTGATGAGTAATACTATATTATACAATATATGTAAGAAACACAAAATTCTACCGTCTTGTTACACGAGGGAGCATTTCAAAATGCAAAAAATTAGCAAATTTTACTATTTTTATAGAGTATTACAAAATATGATGTGCAAAACGGATTCACATAAAAACATAATAAAAATATTGGAAATATTCTCAAATTTCTATGTTTTAAATTTCAAGAGCGTATGTCTATTACTTTTTCTTTAATAATATTTTTATTACCTCTTTCTTTCAGAGCTACAGATCATCATAACGTCAAAAACACACTGCAACGACGTCAACCTGCCTATCAATTGCAAAATCGGTTAAAAAATCAGTTATATCAAATTGTAATTACATTTTTATACCTATAATTTCTTAATTTTGTTTAATTTTAATAATTAAGCTAAAAAAGTTGAATTAAAACAGTAAATACGCTTCATTTTACCATGATGCGCGAAATATTGCACAATGAAAACTATAGTCGGCCCCCTTAAATAACACGAGGACTCCGTTGCCAATTTCCATAGCCCTCTCCAACAGACGTCAAACACAAAGGCAGCCGCACGAGATTTTCATGCATATTTGGAATCCTTACCGTCAGACACAGAGACAGATGCGCACGAGATTTACATGCATGTTAGGCCTCCCTAGCTCCTGACCTTTTGACCTGCCTAATTTACATTCCGGCAGGTTTATCAAAAAATTAACTCCGCTAAATTTTAAAGAGTTATCACAGAGACAAAAATAAGAAAAGAAAATATAATATCATTGCAAAACCTCAAATGTTTTTAGAGATATTGTGCGAAAACGAAACTGTTTGAACAGACAGAATTCTTTTAATTTATGACTTTTCCTTTGAACTTTTGACCTCAAAATCGAAAGGGACCTTCCTTATGGAGAGTTTTTGTGTAACATTTTATTTAAAAACCTCAAAGGCTTCTCAAGGTATTGCGTGAAAACAAATGCGAACTTCAAACGGACTGACGGACAGCTAGACGGACGGATACACAGACCAAAATTAATATCCCCCACTTTTAGCGAAGGAAAAAAAATAGAAATCAATTTTTTTTTTCATCATTATTTTTATAAATTATACATACACAGATCTTGTGCATCTTTTATCTGTTCCAGCAGTTAATATTATATACTAGAAAGGACACTTAGATCTTCAATGGCGCCTTTAGTGGATGATGTGTATGCGATTTTTTTTACCTTTTTTTTTAAACTTCTTTCAAAAAATCTCTAGCTTTAACGGGTACACGATTTAATTTTCTTTGTATATGAGTGGAAGAGAGATTCACATGGATTTGAATTGAAAACTTAAGTAAATCATCAATTTTACCTCATTGATTTAAGGAATAACTGTATTATTTTTCGATTTCCTGGTATGATCAATCGATTGGGTTGCGTAATAATTTGAATAAACGACGCCGAAGGCGTTTATGTATAAAATTATTACGCAAGCCAATCGATTGATCATCGTCATGAAATTGAAAAAATTGACAGTTATTCTTTATATTTACATGTTTTGATTCCATCATTCCACTTGCTCCAAGCCCTGCTTCTGTCTAGCTTTTTGTTCCGCCCTGCATTTGATTTTTTAGGAACCGCGCCAATACATTGATTGGGTAATAAAGTACACATAAATTTAGGGATGTCAACGAATATTCGAATATTCATTCGATGAGTTGATATTCGAATATAAATATATGATTCGAATATTCGGTTTTTAGATATACAAGCTTTTATTAGAGACAAAATCTTGTAAGTTTTATAAGTTCATACCGTTGACTAAGAATAATGTTTGATTTAAAAAGAAGCTTTAATAGAAAGTCCTTTGGATTACTTTAAAAGTGTAACTATTAAAATATATCATTCTTTGATCATTTGATTAGTGGTATAACATTGCCAAATACTTACAATAAGTTAATACTATTGTAAGGACACAGTTTTACAGAAAACACATGAATCACTTGTTTATGTAAATATCATTAAAATAATTATCAGGAAATTAAATAGCTAAAATTAAATGGTTTTAATTTTTCTTCAGTAGATAATTGTTAAGCTTGTTTAGCATGGTATTTTTGTTGAAGTAATAAGTAATGACCAATAAATGTATACTGGTTGACAGGAGAGTAAAAATATGTTCATGTACTTCATAATGCAAAATGTGTTTATTTTATCGAATATTCGAATATATTCGATTACTCCTATCGAATATTCGAATATCAATTATTGACAATTTTGACATCCCTACTTATAATTTGTAATTTTATCTCGGACAAAGACATTTGAAATGTAAATATTCTAGTATTCGTTGTACATGTGATATGTTTATCAATATATAAAATGTTCATTAAAATTTAATTCTTCTGCAGCCAGTTCCTTCTTCATGATCAACACATTTGAATTTCATTCAAATTACCACATTCGAAAGACCCACCTTTGGTGAACGCAAAATTTGTGTACGAAAATATTATATATTGACAATATTATTCTCATGGTGATTAATTCAATCTTTACATTAATGAAATGATAAAAGTACTTGAATATCTCATATTATATAATGATTTGTTAATCGATGAATAAACACCTTTTTCTCTACGTTTCTTTTCAGGTTGTGTTATACAAATTAAGAGCTTATATTAGAGGACAGAATACTTAACTGCGAACCTTTTCAGTGTTTGTGATTCTAAAAAATAGATCCACTACTCTGTTGATCCTATAGTGAAAAAATGTAATTACATGCTTTTTGCTAAAAATCATAAATAAACAGTGACGTCAATGAATGCGCGATTATTCTTTAGAAAGAAATGATTTCTGTGATTCTCTTCTTTTTAAATTCTGTGAATAGATTGGATAATTTTTTTTTTTAAAAACCCTTTGTAATACATGCCATTTTTTTATCTATGAACGTCTGATGACACTTATCTTTAATTAAGAAAATTTAATAAAAAAAAATCAGTAAGTAAGCTACATGTACATTGCGTATGTCCATAATGGAATTATTCTACGTATATTCAAACTAACTTAAATAATCAAACTTTTAGTCCTCTAATGCACTTCACAATATATAGCAGGACCTCACATGCTTGAGATCCTTTTGATCCGAAATTCTC